CACGCGTTTCTCCTTCATGTATCACGTAAAATACCTACCGTCTTCACCCTCTCTCTCTCTCTCTCTCTCTCTCTCTCTCTCTCTCTCTCTCTCTCTCTCTCTCGATTGGTTTATCGAAGTTCCGAAGTGTAGGGTCATGATGGCCGTGTCTAAAATGACAGTCATTATAGTTGCATTTTGGGCAACTGTCATTGTACACACGGCCATCATGACCGTACGTTTCAGAACTTTGATAAACCTACCACGGGCAAGAGAGAGAGAGAAAGAGAGAGAGAGAGAGAGAGAGAGAGAGAGAGAGAGAGAGAGGGATAGAACGTTGTACAGCCCACCAACCAGCCATAGGCCATCACAACACCCCTCTCCTCCTTCATCATGTTCTTCTATAGATCGTAACCTTCGGATGAGACGAGAACTGACTTGCAAGAGCCAACGCCTGCCCCCTGATTTTCGTCCCAGACTTCTTCTTTCCCGCCTCTGCATTCATCGAGGTCGCCATTGCCCTCGTCGTTGACTCAGACTGTCCACCACTAACATCCTTTCGTTTGTCGGAAGAGGGAGTCACCCCTGCATTTGGGAAAGCAGTAGAAGATGTGGCAATTGTGGACGACTTGGCAGCAGACGCCCTCTTGGCAGCAGATGCCGTGACAACAGCTAATGAGGCATTGGCAGCAGACGACGTGGCAGCAAATGACGTAGCAGTGAATAGCGTAGTAGCAAATGGCTTGGTCGCAAATGGACTGTCAGCAGATGACGTAGCAGAAGATGACGTGGCAGCATATGACATAGCAGCAAATGGCTTGGCAGCAAATGGTACCGGTAGGGGCATCTCAAAAATTTTCCTGCTGGCTTTTAACGACCATCCGGTAGGGGCATCCCGCAAATTAGGGTCCGGTACCGGTAGGGGCGCAACGAAAAGCTTCGAGGCCCAAACGACACCGGGGTCTTATGGAAATTTTGAACACTGCTCAGAGGGGCGCAACAGGGTAAATCGGCCGTTGGAGGGGCGCGACGCAAAATAACGCAAATTACAGGGGCACCAGACAAATTTTCCCTTTTATTTTATTTTTTATTTATTATTTTATTTATTATTTATTATTTTTTAATTTTTTATTTTTTTAATTTTTATTTTTTATTATTTGTTTATTTATTTATTTATTTTCTATTTTTTGTTTTTTATTTTTTATTTTTATTTTTAATTTTTAATTTAATTTTTAATTTATGTTGTTTTTCATTTTTATTTTGTCCTTCACTATGGTTGGTGTATTATAGGTTATATGATTATCTAACCTTATTTGTTAGTACTGCTTTTCAGTGTGCGGGGTATGTTCATCGTACGGGCTAGAAAAAGGGGGTTGGTTTTGCATTACCAGTGTGGTGCATGTATTAGCGTAGGCAATATTTCAGGTTTGGGGGGCGTTTTATGGTGTATTATTTTTTTTGATCTTATCCCTAATAACTGTTTCTTGTTTTATTAGCATAGGTTATGAGGTAGTGGATTTGTCATGTTACTTATAAATAGTGATTAATGGTCACTGTAATAGTGTGGTGGGTTGAGCCAGGCGCACAGATTGCGGTTGTTGTTCGTACGTATTCGGTGTTGCAGATAAATCATCTAGCGAGCAGGCGGGTGACTTATCAGCACTTGTGCGCAAAGAGAGAAGACCAAAGATGTTGGTTGATGTCGTGGAGAAGAACTTCACGCCCACAAAGTTGAAAATGGCAGGAATGGAGCCAAAGGAGAAATTTGCGTACGAAGGTATGGAAAGGGAGCCAAATGCGATGGTGGAGACATTGGAGCATTTTTGTCCTGCGGATGAGGCGGTTGTTTTTCTGGGAAAAGGTCATGCGGTGTTGATTTGGGAGTTGTGAAAGGGTCACCGTCACTGCATTGTTCTGGAAAGGGAGGGCATGAAGTTCGAGTTTCTCGTTCAATTCGTCACCAAGATGGTTAAGAGTGGACTTTACTTCGCCAACTTTGTTAAGTCGCCTCCTCGACATGATGAAAAGCGTGATCTCGTCTACAAAGTCGGCTAAAACATCGTCAACATTTGGGAGTTCCTTTTCGAGACTAAGCCACAAAATAGAGGGGAACGTGCATATGTCATCAGAAGGCGAAAAATGAAATCACTTCAGAGGGGGTATCATAAGGCACCGGCGGAGACAAAAGTTGCATTTCTAGACCGTTTGGAGATGATGTACTTCGACGAACAAATCGGGGCGTTTACAATCGCAGCTTATGCAACTTGTTTTGGGGAAGGCTTCGATGCTGAGAACTCAGAGGAAGAAAGTGAAGATGGTACTTTGCAAGCGGCTTTGGCAGATGAGAGGCAAAAACTTGTAGCTCGGCTTCGCAAAAGATGGGTGCGTCGGGCACATCGTCCGGATTTGGGGGGGCTTCGAGTATGGCAGTTACAACGGACCAGTTACATGGCGGGCAACACAACAGCGCTATCTTCCGGCGCAGTTCGAGATGATCCGAGGGCGCAGGCAATGCTCTCCCAGAGGTTATATCAAGTCTGTCAGCACTTGCACATAGCCCGACTACTGTTTTGGAACTGCTACGCTCTCAAACTCCTCAACCACCTCCATCTGAGCCTTTGGAGTACGAGATTGAAGACATCATCCCTTCGGACATTGCACGACTTCCTGAACCTATTGTGTGCCGAGACGATTATACGGTGATGTCTGACAACGTATGGGGTCATCACATTATATGGCACCCCCACCACTTCCAACCTGCATTGGCGAGAGGGAACTGGGTAATGGCTATTAAAGAAGAAGGGGAGTGACAATTTTGCCTCCACAGACGTATGTCACGATCCAAGTTTGTCACACACGCCAAAAATGAGATTGACAAGCGACTATTGCGACTTAATCCGAAGGTTTCTCAATCAAGAGTGGATGCAAGGACCGACGGAATCTTTCAGGAGTTCAAAACATCTCGATGGCTTGAGTATCTGGAAGAGTTCTATAATCGAGAAACAAGTCCAGCTTTTGGATTTAAGTGGCGTATCGAAGAGGAACTTGAAGACAAAGTTGGGGAAAGGAAAGGAGCGAGCAGCGATGAGAGTGGCAAGGGATCAGGATCAGGCGGCGGTGCACTTGGCAAGGGAACAAGATCAAGTGGTGGTGAACATGGCAAGGGATCGGAACCATGGGGCGGTGCCAGTGGCAAGGGCCTGGGACCTGATGTCGGTGCAAGTGGAAAGCCAATAAGTCATGGTGAACTACAAAAACACGAAATGTGTCAAGGGCGTCAAGCAACAGAGGGAAATGCATCAGGACCAAGCGGCGGTGCACATGACAAAGGATCGGGTTCGCCTCTGGATTAGGACCAAGCAGCGGTGCACATTGCAGGGGATCGGGTTTGCCTCTGGGATTAGGACCACGCTGCGGTGCACATAGCAGGGGATCGAGAAGCGATGCAAGTGGCCAGGATTTGGGAGGAAGCGGCGGTGCAAGCGTCAAGGGCGTAAGTCATAACTGCCGAAATGTGTCGAGGACATCCTTCCGGATGACCAAGTTTAGGCGACCACTGTGTTGGCGACCGAGAGTGTTACTGCGCAAGTGGATAGTACTGGTGCACTTGCAGAATTAGAGATGCCATTGGATATGCCAGCTGAGAAAGATGAGCATGAAGTCTCTCTGGACATGAAGAATGAAAGCGCGGCTGCAGGTGCAAACGAAACTGCCAATGTGCAGGCCATCGAAGAGGATGAAGGACATATAGTACTAAGTACACGGGAGCAACATACGCTTGTACAACCTGAACTTATGGTTGCAAAATCAGAAGCACAACAGCCTGCTAACCTCGTGATATCTATCGACGAATCTCCTTTTACATCATCGCATGGTGCGATAAAAGGTCGTGTTGAAGACAAAGCGTTAGTGAGTCACTGAGGTGAGCACGTACTTATCTCTAAGGGAATATCTAATACTGTATGCGGATTAGGGGGTACATGCACTCATCTCATAAAAACTAATTTTTTGCCTAGGTTTGCAACCGTGCGCTCGGTCATTAGAAGAAATGAAGTAGAATATTGTGTATCTCTTATTTGCAATTATATGAAAAATTGAACTTAAACTCATAATGTTTTGTCTTCTGAATCATTGTCGTTTTTTTTTTTTTTGCAAAGGCAGAGTGAAAATAATATTATTCGTCGTGGCTTGCAAGCCTTATCGACTTTGTCGTTATTGCCCAAAAAAGAGAGAAGAAGACTTACACCCATGACATTTCCATCTATGAAGCCAGCTGCCCTAAGGATGTTTAATGTTGTTGGAATAAGCCTCGGAGAAGGGAAGAAATTGCATCGCGAAGGTTGCAGTTTATCTATTGTGGATGGCAACTCTGATAGCGAAACAGATAGACAACCAAAAACATGAACTCGGGTCTACGTCGTACATCACATAACGAAAAGTTCATTTTTGTATGAAGTCTTAGTCGTTCCATTGTTGTTTATATGTGTGTTTGTATGCAGTTCATGACCCTTCGTTCCAGATTCCTTTAKCAACAAAAYGCCTCACCGTAGAAGAAAAGGAGTATCTTGACATGATTACAKGCAGCAGCGAAGACAATGAAGCATACGGCATTGTCGATTACAAGGGGAGCTGGAAGGTGGGAAAGGAAGACATCATGGTCGTCGTCGAGGATGAAAAATGGCTAAATGACGAAGTCGTTAATTTGTACCTGCTAGCCGTCCAGATCACCAATGATCACACATCAAGGTTGATTCGGCATGTACAGAAGTGTCAAGAGATAGTGTTCTTTTTGTGTACATTTTCAACTCATTTTTCTTCACTCGATTGTCGGCTCCTTTGAGGTTTGAAGCCGCATATTCCGAAGGGATGAAATGGGTGAAGGACACAAATCTTTTTGATTATGACTTAGTGATTATCCCTCTTCATTTTGAAAATCACTGGGCGTTAGCTTATGTCAGCATAGACGGTCCGAACTGTAAATTCCACCTCATAGACTATCTCCCTCGTGCTGACTATGTTTCTGTCCTTGAACGTTTGGAAGATTTTTTCGAAGTGGAGTTTCATCGACATAATCTTCGGGAAAGATATCATGTGGACGGACCTACATCCTCCTTTGATACATCAGTAGATGAGATTCCTGCTCAAGAGGATCCTTGTAGTTGTGGTGTTTTTATTTTAGGTTTTGCATCTTTGCTTGCAAGAGGCCACTTCCCTCCATTTGCTTTCTCACAAGCCAATATTTTTAATATGAGGCTTATAATAGCATTTGACATTTTGTCCATGATTAGATACGAAAGTCAATGAGGTGCGACTAAAGCTGCAGTCCATAGTTAATATTTTGTTGATGAGATTGACATGTTTACTAAGTGTAAACATTCAAGGTAAAAACTTGACATTGTATTATATTTTGAGCACAGGCAACACGGAAGCATGACTGTCACATTAATTTTTCCTCATTGTTTCGTCGTTCCTTCAACTTTGCATTGCTATGAACATTGTTTCGTCCTTATTTTGCTTTGTCGTTATTTCAATTTGTTGTTATTTTGCTTTGTCGTTATTTCGTCTATAATTTTCTCATTTCGTTCTATCATTTTACAGTTAAAAAAAAAAGTGAACATGAGAACAATTTCACTTATAACGAAAACACCGTTTCTAGTAATCGAATGATGGAACGTAGTCTGCTACATAGACCTATAAAAATACCCGAAGCATATTGATTAATCTCCGAAAGCATAGCATACAAACGTAACATAATCTTCGCTTGTTATCTATATCACATACTAAGATCATTGGCCTAAAATGCGCACATTCCGTAAAAATTACGCGTATGAATCATGCAAAACATCTTTAAAAACACGGAACACTATCCAAGCAAAAAATCACATCTACGGAAGATTACTAGCGTAAAACATTTCGATTATTTAAACATAATAATACTATAAACAAATAATACTCTCGATGAGACAAATTCCTTTTACAGATCTCCGTATGAAAACTTTAGCGGCGTTTTTTCCTCAATGATTACTGAATCCCCATCTCCATAAATGAACAGGCTAGGACACAACAGTTTCCACTACTCGTTGAGCACAAGGTATTTCATTGAATCGGAAACCAAACTCCTTCTAGGTATCTCCTTAAGAAAATTTCTGCCCTCTGATCATGCACGACTATGTTCTTAATCGCATCTTCTGACTATACAGATTTAAATTCAACCTTACCGCAAGCCCGGGACCATATTTTTTTCATAAACTATAAATGAAGCACCCATATGTCACCCTCAATATCCTAGTTAGATCCCTGGTTCCTGGTAAATGATTTTCCTACAACTACTCTGACGTTTGATCTACGTATACTTGCGATAAATTCACGAGGTACGATTAGGAGCTAGTAAAACATAATCATAAAGGTTCATAGTAGTACGAACTTTAATGGTAAATAGGGACGATACTTAATGTTTTGATGTGCGCGAAACTTTAGAAAACTTTCACAATAAGTTTGTTTCACACATTTTCCACGCATTTCTTTCACGAACTGTTTTCTCACTTTTCACGATTTTTTCGTGTTTTTTTCGCGTGTTACTATTATTAATTTTTTCTGCATGACGTTTAAAATAATAATAATATTAATTAAAAGACTACACTAGGTACGAGAGGAGATTAATACCTACATAATAATTTTAACTTTTACCTATACAACACACATATGCGAAAGAAAGGCTTGTGTTCATTTGTAGCAAACATAGAACTCACAATGATGTTCAGGACTTGTTGTCTCTTGTTGGCATGAATAGTCGCTTGCTGCATTCACCTGTCAGAGCACATTTTTGTTTGTATATTGGTGTACACTCCTAAAACGAGCTTAACTTCGGTTGTTTCCGCTATACTACAATTGTTAATTTTACAAAGATTGCTAATAGCCAAATCTATGTGGAATTTCTGGGAACATGCTTGGTCTCTTCTGTGGTCACCCGATTTCTACTTTCGTATCGCTTGTTCATCTCTGAACGTATCTTTCATCTCCTGGTTGTCGATAACCCTTCCCCGCATATATGACTGCTAAGTCTTCATGTTATATCTTTAACCATGCCTCTTACGTTTCCTGATGTACTCTAAGTCATTAATTCTTCTTCTTTTTTTTGCACCCTTAAAAATCCCTCGTACTAATTAATAATGCGACCCTTGATTTATGCTCTGATCTGTGTAGATCTCTGATTTCCACCATATTACTAATTCTGCTCAATACGAATCGTTAACATCCATTCAAATTAATCAATAATCCTACTCTATACGTACCTTCAATCTCCTTTGTATCTCTAAATCTGCGACATATGCATCTTTAATAATCTATTTCCCGTATTACTAACTTAAGAATATGTATTCCGCGTTGTATCCTCCTTTAATTCCCCTTGTGGTTATCAATAACTCTGCTCTTTACACACCTTGGAATGCTCTCTGCTCTGGATGATCGATATTCCTTATGAACCATTGATTATTCTTCTTCCCATACATCTTTGTTAAGCCGCCATGTTGAATCACCAATTATACTTCTTACGAATCCTTGATGTCCTCATATTACTAATTTTGCGATTCCAGTGCAATCCTTCGTATGAATGGATAATTCTGCCCTATAAGTATCTTTAATATCATCCACATCGCTAATTTTGTTCTATATGTACCAATAACTTCCTCCATATCGCTAATTCTGTTCTTTACGTATTCTTCATTTCCTTCGCATTTATCCTTGACTCTGTTTCTCACGTATGTTCTGATTACGACGACATCACTAATCCCGCTCGTTAACCCATTTACAACCTTAAATACTCATGACCTCTATTAGAACCATGTTTTTGCACAACAAGCATCCCCCGACACTTTCTTAATTAATTTTTTTTTTTTAAAACACCCAGAACTTGCATGATACACACGCAGAACCTAGCGAAAAAACTGCCATATGTTGAACACATGCGAGCTCGTTAAATACCCTCAACACCAACAAACGCAATTTTAACTAAAAAACTCACCCCATGCACGCGACTTCTGGTGGTTATCACCTTATCATTAAGATTACCTTCCCTTGCTAAACACTAATATAGATAGCAATCCTGGAATTAAGGGTGCTTTACTCCGCTAAAAGTAATAGTATACACCCATACTTTTACTACACCGCAGTAGTACACCCTAGTGCCACAACGATCCGCCAACTTTCATGTGACACGGAAAAATGATGACTAACATAAAGAAACACAAACATCCCACGAAATGACCCTTAACAAAAAAACAGGAATATCCATAAACTCGTCCCTCGGGCCATTAAACAAAAAACACAAACAAAACATTAAAAAACATTTTTTAACTTGCCACAACACCCAAGTAGCCCTCGAACATG